TTATTGAGGGTATGTCCTTTAAGCGTAGCAAATTTGCTGATGCACACACTTATCCGTTTGCAATGGATTAGGGACGCATTATGCTGCCGCTGAACTTGACTACGGATGAAGGACCAATCTATGTAAATGCCAAGCAGTACCATGGAATCATCCGTCGCCGACAATCCCGTGCCAAGGCTGTCATTGAGAACAGGGCCGCTAGACTCCGTAAGGTATGATATCCCAATTCGGTAGGATATTTCGGAAACAAAATGCACACCTGAGGACAAAAATATTTCTCTTTTACAACGACATAGTCAGTTAGAATGACCTATGATCTTTTTTGTTTCTACAGCCGTACATGCATGAATCTCGCCATCGCCATGCAATGCGCCGACCAAGGGGCTGTGGTGGTCGTTTTCTGAACACCAAGACTATGAACAATGGGAACAAGGGAACTGAAGGGAAGCAAGGTGGTGATGGGCAGCTGTTTAGGTTTTCTGGTTCTCAGAGTCCTGAAGTCCTGCAATCTGACAGTGGAACTTTAAACTCGTCAAAGGAAACAAATGGCAGCAGTTCAAACATATCCGGGTCAGAGGTGTCAAGTATGTACTCTAGGGGAGATCTTGATCGCTTTTCAATCAATCATCTCGGTCCCTCTCTGCACTCTCTGTCAAACATGATGGACAGTGCACGTGGTATGGTCATTCCGACCAAATGGGTTGCAGCAGGAGATAACCGCTGCAACCTCAAAGTTTGATAGCAAGGGAAAAGATGGGGTTGGCGCTAACTCCGCTGCATCAACCCCATCTACTCCGCAACCAGATGGAGAAGGTATGTTGCAGTTCTGTTACGGTTGTTGCAACAGGCTTTTGGTTCTAGGATTTTCCTGCCCCCATTTGGTTGCTATCAAAAGGCAATTCATCCTTGGCTCATGGCAATTCATCCTTGGCTCATGCGGAAAGGTTTTCCTGCCATTCGATGCAGTCATCCTGTCCGGGCGGCTTGTGAAAACCTTGAAGCAGCATAAATTAATCAGTAAACTATATATATATGGCTCTCTTCCCATGATAGGAATAATAACTTGAGAGTCTGGTGTGTGTTTGTGATCTAAAACTAGGAAAATTTGTTTTGTAATAATCTAATATCTGGATTTTTGACCTATTTGGGATAATGTATAACTGAATGTTTGTGTTGTATTCTGAATGTTTGGAAGAATAATGTATTATATCTTAAGACAGATTCTTGCACTAATGATATCAAGGAACGTGCTCTCTTCACTTGTAGTGACACTCAGACCAAACACATAGACAACATATATCGGGTTACGTTAATCAAGGCTCATTACGAAATTCACAGAGCAATACTTCACCCTGGAGTTCTGATTATCTTCACGCATGTGTGATTAAAGAGTACGGAGTGTCGGGATCAAGAGCCTCTTTCGTGGTTCAGGTGTGAAGATAATCAAAACTCCTCTACGGAGAGTCCTCGAACCAAAGATCGATCAATCATGAAATGAGCTATAGACTCCCAGTAACTTATATAAGAACTTTGATTAGGCTTCGAGAGCATCTTAAGCATTTGTTGCAACCTTCGTTGCGACCACTGTTTAAGAAACATAGGCAAAAGTAACGAAATATACCAAACATTTCCAAGGCTCTAGATCGGATATGGAGGAAAACGAAAAATTAACCTAAATCAATGAAAAACCAATAAAATGTTCAGAAAATTAATTTACGATAGTCTACCTAATTTTTTTTAAAGTTAATTTAAGAAAAAAAATTAGCCTAAGTTCATTCTTTAATAATCTGGGATTAAAATTTTAGGCCAGAAGAGTTAAAGCAGAAAAGTTGTTTCTAAGCTAAAACCTAAATTTTCTAAGCTAAAAATTTTAGGTTTTAGCCCAAGGGTTAGAGATTGTCTTAGGAGGATTACCTAGTTGAGAGTTAAAAAAGTTAAGGCTTGTTTAGTACTTTACTTGGATCCAATTTTTTAAACTAAAAAACATTTATCAAGTTTTAGGCATTAAAAACTTGTTTAAAAAAAAAAACTGAACTCAAGACTAACTTTAAAAATATAGCATATTCTTAAAAACACTAAAAGTGAAAGTGAGTTCTTAGAGTTTTTAGACTTAAAACTCACTCATTTCTTTTCTCTCTCTCCTCCCCTCACTCTGAATCTCTCTATGTTTTCTTCTCTCTCTCATTCTTCTCTTTTTTTCTCTTCTTCGTTCTCTTCTCTATTCATCCTCCTCTCTGTCTCATTTGATCTTCTCTTTTCTTTCTCTCTCCTTCAATTATCTCTCTTCTCTCTCTCCTCCGATCCTCTATCTTCTCTCTCTCCTCCGATCCTGTATTTCTTTCTTTCCTCCTCTCTCCTCTTTCTCCCCCTCTATCGACTTTCTCTTTTTGGATCTCTTTGTCCAGTTTAAATTTTAAGATTTAAAAATTTTAAACCTCATGTTAAACAAGTTTTTTAGTTTTAAAAAAAAATGTTTTGAGAAAATATTTTTTTTTAATAGGATACCAAACGGCCCGTAAGTAATTGTAAGAAATTTAAAACACATTACATCACAAATGACAACCCAAGGAACCAAGGAGACTTGTACAAGTGCACTCTTGAGGCACAGCACATGAGCATTCATTCCACAGGGGAGAGTGTAGGAATATGCACATCCAAGGACTAATCCTGCACTGATCGTGCCGGAAACAAACGGCAACAGACCCACCTCCTATGTTATGCGTGTGTCGTGCCGCCCAGATTATCAAGCAGAATTTAAATCTGTTGTTATATTTCTATATGTTGTTATCCAATTTCTAATACTACCCTTAGTAGCCTCTTGGCTGTCTAATGTCTATGACTTGGTTACAAAGGTGAGAGAAATTTAAATGACATGTGTTTTAAAACTATAGGGTCACATAAGGGGGTCAATGAAATTGTTCATAAATATAAGACATTGTTTGGGCCTAAAATAATACCTTGGATCGGGATAGGCTGATCCTAGGATCACGGTTCTCAGCGCAATATGCGTCCTTTAGGCCAATAGGTTGTTAACCCATAAATAGGATCAACCAAGCCCTTATGAAAGAAGGACTGTGAAGAGATCAAGCATGGGTGGTTCGATCGAGTCCTATATGAATTAAAATTGCCATGGATCAAATTGATCTTTGGATAAGTGCAAATTATCAACATCAAAATGCATGCGTGACCAGATAAGGATGAATACATCTCGTAACAGTGCTAGGTTCAGAGTCCTGGAAAAAATCAAAGAATCTGGGATTGGATGAAGATGAAGTTTCGGTTTATGGGGATAAAGGAATATTCGAGCGAATGCTGAGCCAGCACAGAACCATTGGGACTCTGCCTCGACATACTTGTTTATCACAAAGGCTTTATCTATAAATAGATAAGGCTCTACAACATTGAAATTCTCTTCAACTCAACAAACAACTCGACACGTTATACACCAAAACCCTCGCTCTACGCAAAACCTTTCTCACAACCCTATGAAAAACACTATCCTAACTATCTCATCAACACATCTTCAGTTTTGACTAACAACAGTGTGTTGACATCCAGAGACATCTTCAACTTGACTAACATCACTGGAGCCATATAACGAAGCGATCAAGAAGCACTTTCAGTTTGGACTAATAGTACTGCCTCTGATCGGTTGGTTATCTATCCAAGTATCGGCCGGTGATGAGTTTTCAACTTGTTGATGCACAAAATCAGTGAGGACTTTGGTACAACATAAAGTGTTAAGTTTGTGACATTCGCTAGATTGCTCCGGTCACTGGTGTGGATAACTATGTAAATGGATAGAGACAGGGAAGCAAACACAAGATGTACGTGGTTCACCTAGATTGGCTACGTCCACGGAGTAGAGGAGTTCTCATTAATTGTGAAGGGTTTACACAAGTACATAGGTTCAAGCTCTCCTTTAGTGAGTACAAGTGAATGATTTATCACAAATGACATTCAGAAATATTATGAAAGAATGATCTATATTTATAGAAGAGAGTTTCTAGTTACATTCTGACATTGACACGTGTTGTGCTGTGATTGGCTTATGATGTTGACACGTGTCGCGCTATGATTGGCTTCTGATGTCGACACGTGTCGCGCTGTGATTGGCCTCCTGGTTGGAGGGAAGCTCTTCTGGGTCCTTGACGGTATAACGTTGACCGGTGCTCAGTAGTTTCGGGATTGGTCAAGTATGGTACAAACACAACTTATTCACTAAAAGAAGTCACTTCATTAACTTCCCAATGAAGTTGAGTAATCTATGATTAATTACTTTTAGGTAGGACGTAATTAACTCATAGGTACTCGATTTACGTGTCACGTAGGCATTTTTGTAATTTTTAGGGTCAACAGACACTATGCAAGGGAAAGAACACAACATAAGTTCTAAGAGCATCTTCAATGAAAATGTCAAATCATAAAAGTCAATTACAATTGATGGTTAATGTGGCAATCTGAAGTCTTATGTCCAATTTGGTGTTTCTTCAACTAAATTGTCAAATTATTTTCTTATTATTATAGAACTTTAAATAGTTGTATTAGAAAAATTATTGAAACAAAATTTTTAGGGAGAACTAATAAAAATTCCCTCATGAATTTTTTGTCGAAAAACACTTAAAAACTTTTCTTATTATTAAGACATTTTTTATGTAGTAACCGCAAAAACCAAAAAAGAGACACTTTATGAGAATTTTGAATTAAAAAATATCCTTAGTAATAATAAAAACATGACCTTAATGCTAAAGAAAATTGTCTAAAAGGTTTTTTAATAAAAAAAAAAAGTTTGTTTGAAATTCTAGTATAATAAGAGACTCATCATTAAGCTAACAAAAAATTAAATAAAAATTTATATCAAATTTAACTCCTAATCACAATACTTAAATTTAGTCAACAAATAATACTTTTACGTCAATTATGCACGGTAATATCTTCACTTAGAATTTAACATTTGATAAACCTCTTTTTATGTATTTTGTTTACATTCATGTACATAAAAGGAGGATTATCAAATGAAAATCCAAAAATCCAGGAAACCTTATCCATGCCCCACATCGGCTTTCGTCAAATGGGAAGCCCCTCCTCCCCGTCTTCTTCCGCTTGAAGACCTTCCTTCCCCAAACACCATTTCCTCCCACACAATGCTATCCATGGCTTCCACAAGTACTTCTTGCTCTTCTCCCCTCTGCAACAAAATCTCCAACTTCTCAATCTCCCACTCACTCCCTCCAATCCCCACTCACTTACCACCAAACATTAAACCCCTAAAACCCCTCAAGCTCAAAGCCCGTTTCCATAGCTTCCCTCACCTCTCTCCTGCCCCCAGTTTCCGCCGCTCGTTGGCGGCGTTCGACGGCTTTGAAGCCAAAGAAGACAGTGAAAGCCAAGACGAACAAGACCCAGAAACACAGCTCCATGAAAAGCAAGAAGAAGAAGAAGAAGAAGAGCAAAGAGAGGAAGTGGCAAAGATATCAGACGTTGGGAGGCTATATGTGGGGAATTTGCCCTATAACTTGACTTCAACCCAATTGGCTGAGGTTTTCGGGGAGGCCGGCACGGTGGTTTTTTCAGAGGTTTGAGCTCTTTTTCTTCATGTTTCCATTGTTTGATTTGATGGGTTTGTAGAATTGTTGGTGATTGTGTTTGTGTGGTGTAGATTATTTATGACAGAGTCACAGATAGAAGCAGGGGATTTGGATTTGTTGCAATGTCAACTGTTGAGGAAGCTCAGGATGCCATTAGGATGTTTGATGGCTCTGTAAGTATGAATCAAAATGTGGTTCTTGTGTCGATTCTTTTAACATGAGAAAACTCGGGAACTGCTATTGACGCTCCAAAAATTTCTATCCTTCGCTTCACCAAGTGCGATATGACTTTTTTTGGAATGCCAGTGACAGCTCCTAGAAACTCAAACTTTTCGGTTTTTCAATTTTGATGGTGGCGATGTTTGACAGCAAGTAGGAGGTAGAAGTGTGAAGGTGAACTTCCCAGAAGTGCCAAGAGGAGGCGAAAGGGAAATGTTAGGACCCAACAGACCAAGGGCTGGGTTCAAGGTGTACATAGATAGCCCTCATAAGGTTTATGCAGGAAACCTTAGTTGGGGTTTAACTTCACAGGGTCTTAAGGATGCCTTTGAAGACCAGCCAGGGCTGTTGGGTGCCAAGGTCATATATGAGAGGGTTTCTGGAAGATCCAGAGGTTTCGGGTTTGTGACATTCGAAACCAATGAGGCTGCGGAATCAGCTGTCGCTGCCATGAATGGAGTGGTAAGACAAGTTTGTTAACAGCTCGTTTGGTACTCTGTATTGGACTTGAGAGTCTTATGTTGCCAGACTCTGAATATGAACTATTTGTGTGGTAACATAAGTCCGACAATATGGTGTACCTGGTGACTTATGTCAGTTGATCCTTGTGGATGGTATTATGGTTCTGTAATAATCCGTATGTCTGTGTGTGAAATTGCAAAACAGGAGGTTGATGGACGGCCTTTGCGATTAAATATGGCAGCAGAGAGAGCAAGGACCGTTGTTTCCTCTCCAGCAGCATCAGAAACAACTGCACAAGACACAGACAGCAGTGAAGTGGTTTCTCCACCAGCATCAGAAACAACTACAGACAACACGGACAACAGTGAATTGGTCTCTCCTCCAGCGTCGGATACAACCACTGACAACACAGACAACAGTGAATTGGTCTCTTCTCCAGCATCGGATACAACAACAGAAGACGCAGACAGCGGGGAATTGGTTTCCAGCATTAGCATCTGATTTAAAATTGCACTACAAGGCAGCCTAGAACAAGAAGTTTTGCCACACAAAATGATGTTGAGGCTGTGTTGATTTTTCAGTTGCAGGGGCAAAGTGAGACTCGAGTTTTGTTTCCAAGGAGCGAGTAATTAGGCATCATGTATAAACGAATGGAAAACAATTTCAAAGTAATATTATTAAGTTGGTAAATTCTCAACTTCAGAATGTCACGTTCACAAGATATAGCAAAGGGTGACTCATTGCTATCACAATAGAAAAAGAGGACTGAACAACCTTCGACACGAAGGATCTTGGTTTTATCACCGAGGGTCACGACCATCAAGTAGACAATCTGCTTCAGAATCCAAATCCTGAGGAAAGAAAACCCTGCACAACAGTATGTTGTTATTAATCAAAGCTCATACCCTACACTGACCCATGAAATCAAGGACTATGGTGGTGATTGGTTCTGCTGGCAGATACGGCTTGGACAAACTGGCCTGATCATGCTCAGCTTGCACTAACAAAATTCACAAACGCTGTAATACACAGCAAGAGCTATGATTTACTTCATGAGGTCCACCACACATCTAAGGCAAACACAGACAAGTGCAAAATCCAACGGGTTCCAAAGATTTACCTGCAAGTGTTGTGGTACAACGTCCGGCTCAGCTGACCTATGTCATTGATACCTTTACAACCAGCTACCACCTCAAGAACTTGCCTGAGAAAGCAACAGGCATCTAGTGCGGTGCACACCAACAGTACAAAAAAGCCTTGCTGCCAAAAAAAAAACCAAGAACAAACCCCAATTTGTTGCACAAGTCGACATTTTTAAAACTTGGCAATGACATTTATTCACAACAATACAGTAACAGTAACAAAACAGAGCAAGCGAAAAAAACCATCGGTTTCCGCAATTGTTAAAGCTTCTTTTGATTCCTCAAGTGATCCACCAGTGACCTACATTATCCATAAGCCTAATTCTAATTTCAGAGCGCATTAAACAACAACAATTACTTAACAATTCTAATTGAAAAGGAAAGAGAGTTACGATAATCCGGTCGACGCCGGCAGTCCAAGCCCTGCTCAAAACCGTGGCTATATCCGAGACATGACACTGCTTTCCATTGTAGATTCCTCTGAACATTCCATCTGTATGATCATATTCTTCAAAGTTTCAGGTCCCATAGTCGAATTTAAGAACGATGAAGTTTGGTTTTTGGTAAGATAGAAATGGCATGCCAAGTGTTGGATGAAACGCCTGAGAGACTGACCTGTGTAGTTGACGGCTATATCTGTATTGGGTATCAACGGAAACCTGCGTGTAAGAAGAATGAATTGCTGCAGAAAGAAGGGATTTTGGAAGAGATACTTGCCTATCATGCGGACTGTTGCCATGCCCAAAGCGGACTGCGAGACGGAAAGGAGGAGCAGCTGCCGCAATGCTACTACAAAAATCCTAAAAATATGAACGTTATAAATAGGCAAAAGAAATAAAGAAGAGATCGAAGCGGAACAGGATCAATGTATCACTTTGAGCTTTTGTTGTTTGTAAACATCTTCAATCTTAGACAATCATAAACAAAGAATGTTGTAGCAACATAGTGAGAACCATTTAGATTAACAGTGAAAACTTATCCAATCTACATGAGCATCCATACTTACAACACTTCGTGTACACATCATTGATTATTTAACTCGTTAAAACCTTGTTAGAAAAAATCCAGTATGAATTTTAAAATAATTTCATGTTTCTATACGTTGACGTTTCGCATTTCTTTCTTGATTTTTTTGACATAGATCCCTGTCAAAGGAATGAAACAACTGACCTAACCAAAACGAATCAAGTATATATGCTTACAATACAATATACATAGGCCTCCAAAAGCAAGGAAAAGAAATGGAGTGGAAAATAAGAACAAAAGTACACGTATGGACCGTAGACATAACCAAAAAATACATATCCCAAGCTCAAAAGATAAAAACTAAAATCTAAAAACAATATGGTTATCAGGCATGGCCTTGATTTCTAATTTATTATTTTAGGCAGTATTGAGGCCAATATAATCCCGATGATAACGAGCAGGATTATAATACCATAACAGGTCCATTTACGTGTGTTTTTCTGTAAGAATCTGGCTTTCTGCAACTGCTGAGTGCCGGAATGCACGTATGAATTAGCTCTCTCCACGTGGCCCTGAATATCGTCCAACTGTTCACCTTGAGCTTGCACGAGAACTGCCATGTCCATGAACACCTGGTGCAACTCGTTCAGATTTCTCTCCATGGTCTTCACACCATCATGTCTCTCTTGAATCTCTTGTATGGTGTCTAAAACCCCCCCTCTTCCTTGCTCTTGGATTGCCTTTTGTAAAAATGTCTCGCTCTCACCTACAAGTATATATAATTGCTAGTTACACAAATTAGCAATTGATTCTATGAGCATCGATCACTACACCAACTAATTTTGCTCATGTTATTAAGATACATATGTAAGATCCAAGGATGCTCAAACGCTAATTAGTAATTTAATTAATACACTTTTAACCACTTATATGAACCACACTACAATACTTCTTATAATTTGAACCGATTAATTTTTACGTCACTATTGAAATATCTTCCATGCAAAATTTTATTTCAAGCGTTTGACAAACCAAACTGACTCATGACTTAAAACAGGAGATCTCATTCCAAACGGTCGTATGCTTTCATCAATCAGTAGTCTTGTAAGGATCACTTAAGTAAGTTTATTTGAGAGGTAGCCTTTTATGATGACCCACTGTACATTTATTTCAACAATTCAAATTGTCTAGTTTTAGGTCTTGCCTTAAACATCGTCATAATCGGAAACCATATATATGATCATTGGACCAAAATGTAGTCATCATTTTAGTGTGGTTTTTTGCAGCACAATGTCTCAATGGTTTCGAAGTTGTGTTTTTGTGCATTGAAGTGAATACATGAATTAAAATATGCACAGTTCCGATCGTGGAAAAAATTATAAAATCAACTCCTCAAAGTTCCCTCAAATAAATTTGTTTGAAGAATTCCTTGATGAAGAGGGTTATTTTCTTTCTTTGAAAAGTCGTTGTATATCCGATACATCATGTGACATTGGTGTCCCAAAATTCACCCGTATTGGAACATATGTATCATTATTATGTCAACTCTAGATGTAAATCTTAAAGGAAAACTAACGAAAAGTTCAAAAAAAACTTTAGTTTTAATAAAAAAAATGACAAATAAAGGTGTAGTGAATAGTACCAGGGAAAGGTAAAATTGTGGTTTTTCGTTAAAAATGAACAGTACCGGGAGTGTTTCGTTAAAACTCCAAAGCCTTAAATTCATCCAACAACTAGTGTATATATTATATAGGTGTTTTAATCAAAATAGTCTTTGAGATTGACATAATTCTTCATTTTGGTCCCTGAGTTTTAAAACTGATAGAAGTTGTCCCTGAGATTGTCCATTGTCAATTAATTGGTCATTCTGTGAAAAATCTCCTTTAAATTGAAAAAACTACCAACTTAAGTAGAGGGGTTGATTTAACAAAAATATTCTCAATTTAATGGAGATTTTCACTAAAAGACCAAAATGATTGACAATAGACAATCTCAGGGACAGTTTTTATTGGTTTTAAATCTTAGAGACCAAAATGAGAAGTTATATTAATCTCAGCGATCATTTTAGCTAAAAACTTTATTATATATGTGTCATAAATAATCGAATATATCCCCCAATACCCTTCATCTCATCATTTTGGTATGTATTTGTTGAGCTTAGTATTCAAACCTAGATTTACGCTGCACTCTAGGGTAAGTCATTTGATTTCTTGATTATATTTGATGATTACATTTGGCGAAGGTAACATTGCGGAACTACTATTTGTAATTCAAATATTTCACAGATGCTATATTATATATGTTACCTGTAGAGATGAGAAGGTCTAGGGTTTTGTCGTCGGGGTTCTCTCCGGTGACCGTGAAGTACCTACGCTGAACGGTCTCTCTATGCTCCGATGAGATCTTGTTCCTCAAGTCATTAAAGCTATCCATGGAATCCTTTAGCTTCTTCCTCAGCCCGTTGACCACGGACGTCCGCGTCCGGTCAGATGAGGACCCTGGACCGCAACCAGGCAAGCTCCGGTTGGCAGCGTTGGACTTGTCCAACGCATCCAACTGTACCTTAAGAACCTTAGCGTTCTTAAGGGCAGTATGGACATCCGCGTCCATGCGGGTTCGGAGGTCCTTGACTGCCTTGGAGTTGTGGAGACTCTTGCTCTGCTCGTGTGCGCTTTGCAAGCTCTTATTGATCTTTTGGAGCTCATTGAGCTCGTTCTGGACCGACTCCACATCCTGGAAAAACTTGTTGAGTTCGTTGGACGTTGCAGCCATTTCGATGACATGGTGGTCCGGAGAGGCCTCGGAGAAGGAGCTAGAGAGCAGATCGTTCATTTTTCGGATACCTTAATTTGCTATAAGATCATAAACTCAGAAGTCAGAAGTTAACCTTACCTCTCTGAGTTTCTGTGACTCAAAATTTGTGGTTTAGATACATGTTATACACAGAGAAGTGTTTTGGCAGTCTTTCTTGACTTGTAGTTCAAGTCTTGGCCGCGTTTCAAGTTTTCAACTTCCAACTTTGAAAGTTTCAAACAAACATTATCCCTCAAGTACCAAGTAGATTCCTAACTCCTGTGTAGCAGCCAAGGACCATGTTTTTTTCCAACCTCCTGGTATCTATTTGGAGAAATGTAGGACCATTTTAATTTGTAGACTAGGGAGAATACAGGCCCTTTATCGGATCCATTCCATATCGAACTTCAACGATCTGAACCGTTTATATGTGTTATGCGTACCAGTTGGGATGAATTATTTATTAATTCCATGTTTATAACTAGACCGGCCTCTTCTAATAATTTAAAGGTGTTTCTTAACAACTTTGGTTGACAAAGAACATAGTAATAAAAATTGGTTTTAATATGGATAGTACATGCGTCCCCCTCTATATGGGAGATACGGAAGAAAGTCGAGGTTTCACTACTAATTAATTGGCAACATGATAAGTAATCCAATTACTTATGACTGTTAGGCTTCACACATTGGACAACCTACTATGATATCATTAAAAAATTGAGGTTCTACCATAAAACTAACTGGCAATATGGGGAGTAGTCCAATCACCTGTAAGCACATGCAAGGTTTATTTTTC